CTTCATGGGTTTTCTGTATTGCCTTATATTCTGTTTTAATAAATTATTTTCATTCATAAAAAAAAGCCTTTTACTCAAGGGAGGAAAAATACCTGGTTCCATGGCTAATCCCAGCTAGTATCCTTAAGAAACAAGTCCAACCTGTACAAAAGGTTGGGTTTGGCTAAGCTGGGCTCAGATTGGGCACATCCAAGTTACATTCCTAGCATCTTGCCCCCATGGAGCCATTTTATGGAAAATACTACCATTTTGTTGAAATTTTTATGTATTTTGCTTTTATTCCTCTTAAACACTCTAATATTAATATTGAAACTCATAGATTGCGGCCACAAAAATAAGAGAGAAATAGTTTGCAGCAAGAAAACTAAAAGTGAAGTTGCAGAAAAGAAAACAAATTTCAATGGTGTATCTGCCTATTTAAAATTTTTCTAGATTAGTTTTATGTGCTAATGGTCGATCTACACGTTCTATGCTGAACTCCAGATTTGAAAAATGTTTTAGCTTGTATGATCTAGTCGAGCCAAAGATGTCCTCTAATAGAAATAATACATCACACTGCTCCCCTTTCTACTGCCTATATAACATTCAAGTTTGGATCTATTGGGCTCCAGTTAGAGTTGAAAAACAGCCATTCGAAGTATGGGACTGTGTAAGATTAGATGAAAAACTAGAAAAGGCAAACAACTAAAAAGATTGGTGAAGATGGAGAGAGAGAGCTGGCGACAAGGAGGGTTAGAGGATGAGAGGTTCGAACTAATCTCCCCCTCTAACACTCTAATACAATTTTATTAAGTTAATTATTGAATAATTACAAGAGAGGCCCTTGGTTGGGCAAGAAATTACAAAAACACAGCATAGAAGAGGATGGGCCCAGATAAGGCCTACAGAAAAGAACATAAATATAACATAGAATAGCAGCCTATGGGCTTTTCGGCCCATCTTCTCTACAGTTAGGGTAGATTGAATTGCACTCTATTGGGACTCCTTAATAAATCAACTTTGAAAACGTTTATCATAGATAAATATTTATGTATAATATTTATCCTACTTCAAAAACTCTTTCAAAGCAAAATACTAGAATACTCGAGTGGACCTAGGAGTCATAGCCTAATTAGAACACTTCAGGAAAATCCCTAGGACACTATTCTTGAGAGTTGTAGTGTTACAGGGACTCTCCCTATATTCATTCTAGAGTCATTTAAAACCAGAATACTAGAGACCTAATGCAACTAGGATTCCTCCCAACGAACATTAGTTTAACCAAGAGTGCCAATACTTATTCCAGTGTTACCTAGGGACTTATGTAGGAAAGTCCTACCCTCGTTAAGATTCTTTTGCTGGAGTCCTAGTCCAACTAGGATGGTGTTTGATAAAATTGAAGTCTAATATCTGGAAAGCAGAAAAAGCTCTTTTTATTAGATCTAATATCGGAAAACAACAAATTAGCTTGGCCAAGCAATGGCTAACTGAGCTGTTCAAAAGTTTCTCAGCTGAGGAAATCCTGAGAGGTTGGTCAGTAGTGGCTAACTCTTCAGCTGCACAAAATGTGGTTCAACCCCTTTGGACACCTGCAACACAACAAAGAATAAAGTTGAATTTCGATGGAAGCTCTTTGGGAAACCCAGGGCCGTCTGGAGTTGGGGGAATTTTCAGGGATGGGGAAGGCAGAATGCAAGCACTTTATTCTGGTTCAATAGGCGTGGGAGACTCCTAAAGGGCTGAAGTTATGTCTCTACTTCAAGGTTTGAGATTGGCCAAACAATGGGGATATCAAAACCTTGAGGTGGGGGGAGATTCTAAACTTCTAATAGGGTGGCTGCAGGCACGAAACTTGGGTGGATGGACACTTAGACAACAGATGAGGGAAATACTTTGCCTAGCAAGAGAAGTGGAAGTGATCTTCAAATGGGTAAAGAGATCAGCAAATTCTGTGGCTGATAACTTGGCAAACCAGGGGACTCACAGGGAAAGCTTGTTTTGAGCTATATTGTAAGATTTGAGTTTTGTATGGGGTCAACAGTCATGCTATGAGTGGTTGACACTTTTGTATCCAACTTTATATTAATGAAAGCTATTGTTTCCAATAAAAAAATAACAAATTAGCTTGGCTTTTCAGAGTCTTTGTAATACTTAAAAAAGGAGGGCATTTTAGTTATTATGAGCCAGTTGAAACACATTCCACGCTTGGGCCACCTCTCTCCAAATCGGACTTATTATCACTTTTCAGAGTTATGGTTCAGACGCTAACACAAATGAGATCCAATCTCTAAAGAGCAAGTTTTTTAGATATCAAACCTCATTTCAACATTATTGAACGCCATCTTAGCTTCGTGACAACAACACTCTCCTTTTATCTGAGGGTGTAGATTCCTTGTTGGACACTTCTAGACCCATATAATCACTCTCTGCTATCCAAAATATGGGGTATGTCAACTAGAACCGTTTAGTGAATAATGATCTTACCCATGGTATATTAAGGTGTCGTTTGGTAAGTCATTTTAGGAAGATCTTCTGGCAACTTAGATGGCCAAATGATTTAATGAGCTTTTGGGGTCTTGTCTTTAAAGATTTGGACTGTTTGGTAAGATATCCTAGTGGAGGTGGAAGGGGACTCAAAAGTAATCATTTCTTGGGCAAGATGTAACAAAAATATTCCTTGGACTCTCAATAATGCTTATAGGGAAGTAGAAAGGACTGCAAGAGATCTGAGTGCTGAATTCAAATTGGTTAGGAATGCAAATGGGTTAGCTGACTCTCTTGCTAAACAAGGGGTAGAAAGGGCGCAATTGTTCTGGGCATCTTTGTAACATAGTATTGGTATTGGGACTGATTTCATGGTCATCAAATTAAACTTCTACTTTTTTTCACATATAATCAAATTTTTACTGATAAAGGCATTTCGGCCAATATGTATCGTATTGGTGACTCTCTGATGGCTCCAAACTATTTCAGGGGGTAGGTGGGCCTTAAACCAACCCCCCCGAACTTGTTTGGGAAAAAAACTTAAAAAACGGCAGCTAAAGATACAGGTTGATATGCCCCATCCGGTGTATCGGCCTGTAAATTAAGGTACCGCTTTTGAAAGAAAATCAAAAGAAAACTTAATATACAGGAATACAGAAATCCAATTCTGAAAAAAAGTTGAAAAGCCTATCAGCACATTTGGTTAGAGTATCATGTTATTAATATGAATGTTATAGTCTTGTAAGTTGAAGTCCCACATGAGCTAAAATGTTTAAACTATAAGCATCATAAGTACAATCTACAATACACAAAATTACCTATGCAACATTAAATTCAAGGGTTATTCATCAAAATGTAGAAACAAGCCAGTTGAGGCACACATGGGTTTTGGTGATGGACCATGCCTGTGAGTCTAGAATCTAGATGTACCTGAGGCTTGCCTCTTAAAACAATGCCTAAAAATCATTTACTTCTTATTATAAATTGAAAAAAATGTTATCAATCAAAAAAATGAAAAAGTCTTGTGAGCTGGCTGGCTATTATAAGGAGGATTGTGGGGACAAAATGTAAATAAAAGATACATCATATATTAGCCACATGGAACATGCACTGCATGTGCAATCAGGGGGGATAGAGAAAGAGGGAGAACTTTGTTGTAGAGATTGAGAATAGAGAGGGAGATACAAAGAGGTGGATGACAATTGGAAATAAGAAAAACAAGGGTTGTAATTGGAAAGTGAAAGTTTGAGTCTCAATGGTATAGTTTTTTGATAGATGGAAACTCTCTTTTATATAAGGTAATAGATATAAATCATAAAATTTTACGTAATATCTATATAAGGTATATATAATATGTAATATTCTGGGCAGTTCGGCCTTCCTAGCTAGGTTGGTTTCAGTCACACTAACCCAGATCCTGTGGTTTCCTTTGTTTCTGAATCAGTAGGCATCTCCTATATATTTTAGCACAAACACAAAGTTGTAATAGATACCTGGGACAAAAGCCTCTTGGAGAGGATATACAAAGCCAAGGTAGTGGTGGTAAGACAACTTAAATGAGAAGGGAGAAGAGTTTGTTTTGTTTATTGTAAGCATGGTATGACAAAACTTCCCATAAATCTCCCCATTTTGTTAGGCAGAAATATGAAATTTTCTGATAATCTTTTTTTCCTGTTGTTTTTGATATTTTGTCAAAATGTTGGCAATGTTTGAGATTTTATTGATAGATTACATTTATTAGAACTTTAGAATATTATTCAAACTTTTTGCTATTTCATTTAAATCATCTTAAGTTTTTTTTTAAATATTTTCCTTAAAGAATCAACAGGGAATCGGTGATTGGATGATTGACTTACTATTTTGACATGGTTCACTTACCAAGTCACTATAATTCAAAGAAAAAAAGAAAAATTCACTCCACTACAAAAGAAGATTCTCAATCTATTTGAGAACATATAGTAATGAAAAAGAGAATTAAAATGGTAAATAAATGACATGCAATGAAGAGAAGATGGCTAAAAGGATAAAAGGAAAACAATGAGAGAGATACCTATTTAAGTCTCTTAATATTCTCTTTGTTGATTTATATAGTTCTTTGCTATGGTTTTTGAGCCGTAAATTTGTTAAAAGTTTATTATCTAATTCCATATTTCTAGAAAATTCCCCCATTTTAATTTTTTTTTCAAATATCTTGGCGAAATATCTCAGAAACTTCCTCATCTTTACATGGTGAAATGTCTATCGATATCAAAATTGCAAACCATGGCTGGGATTGTATCTTCTATACTTAAATAGGCCCTAAGGAAACATGAATAATCATTCCCTGCTCAGGAATTGAAAATCTGGACCAAAAGAACTTGAATTTCAAGAACAAAACTTTGAAGATCCAAAATCAAGATTCAAGAAGTTTGTGTCAAGAGCTAGAAGGAAGATTTCGGAATAAATTATACTTGTATTTTAATTTGCTGTATTCTAAGGACAGAAGATAAGTGTTTTGTTTTGAAGTTTCTAATGTGTTTATGTTTAACTTTTTATAGGTACAAAAGATTGTCAAGGGGCAGTTCAATTTATTCCATTCCATGTATAAGCCATTTTTAGATGACTATGCTGCTAAAGATTTGCTTAGATTCTCCTCTTGGAGTGATAACCACGGAATCATAATTCAGGTATTTGCTCATTCCTAGTTAATGTCTCTTGCAAAACTGATCTATCATTAGGTTAGCTTTTTTGGTATTGAGCCTTTGATTCCGAATGAAATGGTTTCATTAACTATAAATAGATTGAAAAGTAAAAAGGAAACAAGGAAAGAAACAAAAGATGTGAACTGTAGAGAACACTGATGTGGGCCCCACAGCTGTGGTCCCACTCTGTCCATAGGGTAGAATGTGCCCTAGTCATCCTAGGGTTAGCTGATGGTCAATCTGTTATTCCAGTTGTTATTTATATTTCAGTTTTATATTGTTTTATGTGTTATGTAAATAC